CGTAGCCCCGTCGTCCGTCGCACAACCCCCGACCAACAACCGCCGCTCAATGAACGTTGCTATCATTAGAAGGTCGGCGACGATACGCTTCTGACGACGACCAAACGAATCGCGACGATCTCGCCTCGCCACGTCTTCTGAACGCACGTCTCGAAACGAGCTGTGACGATGACGGACGAGGGCGCCGATGAGGTGAAAGTGTTTCGGCGTACTGATGCCGAAGATTTGGAGACAAACGCTCAGTCAAGTCATCAACTGGCCGAGGATAAGAAGGACGTTGTGCTAGAGACTGAGCTTGAATCGAGACCAAATGGAGATCCGCTTATAGGTTAGTATGCTTTTCCGCAGTTTTCGTTCGAGTTTTCTCGCTTCTGTTTGTTTAAACGGTCGGTTTATTTGCTTTAGAGCACGTTTTTGCGTGTATTTTATGTTTATGTGTTTATATACCGTAAGTTTTCACGCAATCTTGTTAATCTTATCCTATTCTTTTTTATTCTTACAAAACATTCGAAATTCAACATTTTGAACCGCCCTTCTCAACAAAACTCGTTTTTTCTTCCTCTGAATAACATTTTCAAGCACTCCCGTGGTTTATCCTTCTGATACCGTATCCTTACTATCATTTCATCTTTGTTTTGTACTCTTCTTTCTTGTCAGTTCTTTTTTTTTCACATAGAAAGCTAGCCAAGTCGCTAAAACGTCAATATGTAAATACTCCTAAAAATTTGAAGATACTTGTTCTGGTAATCCCAAACAGGGATCTTCTAACATTCCTGCCTTCTTGTAATCATTTTCAGAGGTTTTAGAACTAATACGTGCGAAAATTCGTTTTCTTTCATGGCATTTCCTTTCTAAGCTCAGAAAAAAAAACCGTGTCTGCAGAAGATCATAGAAGTTATAAATCGGAGATTGTAAATCATAGTGTAGTGGCTTGCATCTTTTTTCTGGAATATTCTCCATGCTTATCTCATCTAGATGTCCTGATTTCTTACGGAAATGTTGACTACCTGGTA